CCCGCCTGGACAAGGTCCTGTGCAGCCTGCTGTAGGTGACCCTGCTTCGGCAGGGGGGGTGGACTAGATGACCCACCGAGGTCCTTTCTAACCCCGACCATTCTGTGATTCTGTTAAGACAGTTTCTAGGAAAAGAACTCCAGGCTCACACTTGCAGAAGAAAAAGAATCAGACCAAAAGCTCGCTATTCAAAAAAATGAATCTCAACCGAAACTAATCCGTAGCAATACCACGTCTGAGCTCCCCTTAAAATCAAGCGAAAACTAACATGAATATTTTCTAATATATGTGAGGTCTGAACGTACAGTATTTTTCCCTCTGTCTGAAAATCCATGGAAGCGTTTGGCACCCTGAAGCTGTCGGCAGATGGTGCCCTCGGATATACTGCATTCTTTTTCTTACACACACAACTGAATGCATGGGGGTGTGCCTTCATCTTGAATGGGTAATGTTAATTTTTACCACTAGTTTGACTTACAAATTCCTCCCACAGAGGAAAATTATTATTAGCTGAAAGTGTTCCATAAAAATCTTAGTACCCACTTGAAAAATCTTAATATAAAATACCTAATTTTATATATATAAACACGCACAGAAGCAGCAACAGACTAACCATATGGAAGTGGTAGTAATATGGTTCCGTATATTCAATGTAAGCAAATAAACTATTACTCCTGTTGGGTTTTGTTTTTTTTTCAAAGTACCAAGAGCTGAGTTACCTATTTATATGTCCACCTTAGTTTAAAAAGAAATAGAATGGAATGGATACCATCGCACGGGAACTTTTCCAGCTCCTGTTTTGTAGCTGTCCATTGCAAGAAACTTTTCATTTACAGTTTTCTTCTGACAACAGATTTATCCACTTTCTCCTTTTTAAGCAGCCATACCCACACGCCGTGCTCATTAAGCGTTAAAGTGGCTTTAGGTGATTTGCCTGAGGCGGTAAGTTCTGGTTGGAACCACCGAGCTCTGACTCACTCTGACCCTGACCCGGAGGCTGCAGCCTGCGATCAAAAGCGCGCAGAGCTGTAAAAATAAACTTTCAGGTATT